TGAGCTCTTCTATATCGAACTCCTGCTGTGTCTGCGTCGTGACAATATATATATAGGGAGAAATAAATATACGCTTCCAAAAACTGTTTATTGGACAAATCAATTGGATAATAAGGTACAATAAATTGTGCCAAGCATGACATGCCCAACAGCGACCCTGTGCACAATCGGGAAGCCCCTGTAATCCAGAAGCGGTCAAGAATGGACATTGCACCCGCTTGCCAGCCTCTGTGGCAATACGCGGCGCCCCTCTTTCAACGACGAGATGCCGACGGGGCGCTGAGTAGTTAAAGGCTTAAAATTCTTCAAAAAATCTCTTTTTCTCCCACACTGAACCGCCAGAGCCAGGCGGCGCCGTCTATTAAAGGACTCTGGTGAAAAGAAGGCTACACAGACAGCAGACATCCTAAAGGTAAAAAGGAGAAAAGGGAGAGAGAGAGGGAGGGGGAAGGGGAAGGAAGAGTGAAAGGGGCGCTCGGGAGAGTCCACCTTATATTCCCCCCTTTTCTTCTTTTTTTCTTTTTTTCCTCCTTTTCTTTCTCCTCTCTGATTTAAGATTGTATAAAGCTGAGCACCAACAAACTGTACCCTTCCTGATGAAGGCCAGACTATGGCTGAAATGTCGAAATAAACCCCGTTGGAAATGCTCACGGAGAATCTACTTGACTACTTGCAACGCTACGGCCACTCAACCACTATGCCTGCATATATATATATATATATATACATATATATATATATATATATATATATATATATATATATATATATATATATATATATATATATATATATATATATAGTTGTCCGGTGACGTAGAAGAAAATGCTGGGCCCGAGGTTGACAAAATGCTGGAGGAAATATTAAGTAACCAGAGTAAACTACTAGCAAAAGTTAATGAAATTCAGGCCAAGCAGACATCTACGGATACCAGCATTTCCGACATGCATGTTAGGCTCCAGACTATTGAAAAACAACTTGAAGGGTTGGGTGAAACACAGAACCGGCTTACTATGATAGAATCAAGTGTTGGTCGCCATGACAGTGAAATGACGGCTCTTGCCAGGCAGATCGATGACTTGGATAATCGTTCTAGACGCAACAATCTTATTGTACGCGGAGTGGAAGAAGAAGAATCTGAGGATGAGGCAGTACTCTTAAGTAAGGTGAATGACGATATCTTTGACAAGTTACTTGGCTCAAAGTGTACATCCATTGAGAGAATTCACCGTCTAGGAAAGAAAATACCTGAAAGAAGCCGTCCGGTCATCTTGAAAGTAGGAGACTTCAGGGACAAAACCAAAATACTGAAAAACTGCCGCAAGCTCAAGGGGACACAATTCAGTATCAGCGAAGATTACTCTAAACGAGTAGTTGAAATCAGAAAACAACTATGGATTTCATCAGCGGATGAAAGAGCAAAGGGAGCAAAGGTTAAACTAATCATCGATAAACTGAAAGTAAACAACGTTCTCTATGGCTGGAATGAGGCTACCAACGAGCGATTCAGGTATGCTAGCCCAGGTCTCACCAGCTCTGACTGACGCAAATCGAGACCAACAGCATCTGTTAAGGTTATTAATGTAAACGCCAGAAGTTTGCTGAATAAAGCTGATGCAGTTGAAGCCGCAATCCTGGAGCATGAACCGGATATAATGGTCGTAACAGAGACTTGGTTACATACGGATGTAGCAGATTTTGAAGTAACACCCACAGGTTACATAATTGTTAGAAAAGACCGGCAAGGAAGAGGTGGTGGTGTTGCGTTTCTTATTAAAGACAACATTAGGTTTTCAGTGTTGGATGATAATTGTGACAAAGAAATGTTGTGGATTAGGTGTGGGTTCAGCGAGCGAACTGTGTATATTGGAGGGATTCATAGAGCGCCGAATTCCTCTCTGGATATAATCGCAAAGCTAAGAAATTTTATGGATTCTAATTTTAGCCTCCAAGATAACGTATTATTATTAGGGGACTTCAATCTTCCGGATATTAATTGGCTATCCCAGTCTCCTGGATCGGAACAGGTTGCAAGTGCTGAGCAACTACTGGAGCTGGCATTATGCTACGGGCTAACGCAAAGTGTCACTGAATTTACTCGGATAGGAACTACAAGGTCATCTATCCTTGATTTGGTTTTTGTGTCCCCAAAGCTGTTGCCGTTACTCAGCCGTTGTGAAGTTGTAGAAGGCCAGTCCGACCACAGAATGGTAGTAACGCACCTAGCATTGTCCCCAGACACCTTGGGTAAACCCACACTTAACACTGTATTGAATTTTATGGCGGCTGATGATGTGTCTATTTTGGACTATCTTGAAAGGTCCTTTGATGAATTTCAGGTCCTTTACAACACTGACTGCAGCACTGATAGGCTATGGCTTTTCTTTTCAATTGTTGTAGGGAAGTGCATAGACAGCTATGTACCCAGGATTAGAAAACGCATTTGTAAAACCAATCCCTGGATTACCAGAGAAATCATTCACACAAAAAGAAAACTAAAACGGAAACAAAAATCTTGTGCAAAAAATTGTACCCCTGAAGGAACAGCTTGCATTTCTTCAATGAGACAAAAACTGAAACGTCTGATCAAGCAATCCAGGGATCGGTTTTTCAATGTGACATTGACGAAATACTTGAAGGAAGCCCCCTCAAGGTTTTGGCGCTTTATAACTCCCCCAGCAAGCTCCCCGAGGCCACCTGAAATTACTCAACAACGTGTTGATAATTTCAATTCTTTTTTGCTTCTGTGTTTACTCATGATAATGGCATTTTGCCCGAGTTTTCTACGTCATCATTGCAGCGGCCGATCGATGATGTGGTAATTAGCGAAGAGGGTGTCCTAAATCTTTTACTTAATATAAATACAAGAAAAACCCCCGGCCCTGATGGTATACCAAACGAATTTCTGTACAGATACGCTGAATGGGCGGCTCGCTTCCTTACAAAAATATTTCAGTCGTCCCTGCGCAGTGGCTCTTTCCCACTAGCGTGGAAGCGGGCTAAAATTACCCCTGTTCACAAAAGTGGCTCCTCACGGGACGAGCGCAACTACCGTCCTATTTCGCTTATCAGTACATGTTCAAAGATACTCGAGCACATTGTTAACAAACACCTGATGTCCTATCTTGATACGCACAATCTATTATTTTCGAAGCAGCATGGCTTCCGCCAAGGCTTATCTACAACTACACAGTTAATCGAATTTGTTCATGATCTTTCAAAAACAATCAATTTGCGTGGTCAAACTGATGTGGTATATTTGGATTTCGCAAAGGCATTTGATAAAGTGTCGCACTCAAAGCTCCTGTTTAAAATTGACAAAACGTTTCAAAATAATCACTTGACAAAATGGTTTTCATCCTATCTCAGCTGCCGTCAGCAGTTTGTTCAAATAAAAAATAAACAGTCTAGAGCAGTTGCAGTTAATTCCGGAGTTCCCCAAGGGAGCGGGCTGGGTCCCCTTTTATTTTTGTTATATATAAATGACCTACCAAACCGGGTTACGGTCCCGATAAGGTTGTTTGCCGATGACTGTGTTGTTTACAGCAGAATCGAGACTGAACATGACCAAGTTAATCTAAACAACAATCTTCAAAGAATAAAGGATTGGTGCGAAGAATGGCAAATGAGTTTGAACACAGAAAAAACAGTCTTTATGACTATAACTAGAAAGAAAGCACCTCTAGATTACAACTACCAGATTGGCAATGCTTTCCTTAAGCGTGTACAAAACTATAAATATCTTGGGTTATGGTTCACGCCCGACCTCCGGTGGAACACTCATATTGATAATGTATGCTCCAGGGCTACCAAGGCACTGTATAGCCTTAGACGTAACCTTTATACCGCTCCATCTGATATAAAGTGTCTTGCTTACAAAACCCTTGTCAGACCTATTATCGAATATTCTAAAATTGTCTGGGACCCTTACACAAAGACAAACTGCAATAAAATAGCAAAAATACAGCGTCTTGGTGCGAGATTTATTTTTAATAAATATCGCCGACATCATTCACCTACTGAACTTTGTAAAAAAGCTGGACTGGATAGTCCTGAACTTAGGACAAGGATTGAGCGTCTGAAATTCCTCTACCAGTTAATTCATAATCATTTTAAACTAAACTATTCAGATTACTTCCAGGTCAACACACAAGAACACTCCAGACATCGCCATAGTATGTACATACCACCCCTAGTCCCACGTAACGATTGCTTTAAGTTTAGTTACTTTCCACGTGCTATTGAAGATTGGAATATGCTGCCAGAGTCTATAATTGATTGTTCCTCACTTACATCATTTGAAGAGAATCTCAAACGTTTATTTCCTGAATAACAGTGATGTGCGTCTGTACTTTTTGTTGGTTGCATGAGACTGCAGTAGTTGTGTTTCAAATCTTCAGCGCGGTGCAAAAGTGCCGCCTCAAATGCGTCATGTGCTGTTCTGCGCGTATGTATTGCATTGCATGTGTGTTCCATTTCTTGTTATGTATAACTTCGAGTTGCTGCTGACAATAATACCGAGAAATTATCTCGAGACCTGTACGGTACTTCTTTTTTGCGAATAATTGTTTGTACTTCCACCCTGTAACGGCCCACTTCTGGGCTAACAGTATAAATAAATGAAATGAAATGAATGAAATATATATATATATATATATATATATATATATATATATATATATATATATATGAAGCATAACTTACAATGACGGCCTCTTGGCCAATTGACTTGGCCATTACAATAATTCATGAACGCTGGTTGACTGCTTCCGTTGAAAGATTATCGCGGCACCTGGCGGAGCAGATATCTCAACCACGTGCCTATTTCTACGTCACCTCTGACATGGCCGCAGGATGAAAGAGCGCATGGTGCGCTGTTTCATCCAGCGGCCGTGCCTCTGAGATGCGCTTGCTAAGCGAACGAACCAAAGTTCTCCCAAGAAGTACATCAGGACACAACAACGCCGCCGTGTTTCCCTACAAGACTTGCAAGTCAAGAATTAGGGTCACTTGTAGAAGTTTATTTTCAAGAACATTTAAAAAAATTATGAAACATTATTGTGTCAACATCGACCACTCATGCTCTGTTGATCACATTTCTCTCTCTTTATTTTCTAGAATAAATTTTTCTTAGCGTTATCTCCCAGGCACTTCCAAAGGAGCTAGCGTCTCGAGTAACATGATTATAAGGTTGTTTTAGCAGCGAACGCAACCGCATGAACGACCATGAAGTCTCATTTGTGAACTGCTGGAAGCGGCGGCGTGCCATTCACCTTGGAATGCCGGCTGCGATCACTTGTTCGTCTGAGCCTCTTCGTCAGCGGACCCATCGCAGAACCCTTTCAACAAGGACTTGATAGAAGCTAGGATGGTGCTGAGCGCAGATCCTTCGGCCTGAGTGGCGCAGGTCAGCAGGGCCACTGCATTAAACGCAAATGACTGAGAAACAAGAATGACAAAAAAAAATGTAGAGAGGGTGTAAGTATTGAAGGAGAGTTCCTCTACTGCGGTAAGTCGTGACTCGTGACTATCCATGTTGGAAGGTGTGGTGGTATGGCTTGCCGACAACATATCTGAAAAAAGTTCATATGGAATATGGCCTCTTGCTCGATAGAACCTTAGTCCTTCCGCGCGTACCAGCCACGGTGGTGGATGGTAATTGGCTGCTCAGCCGGAGCTCTCGGGATGGAATACAGGCTGCGGCGGTTCCATTTTCGAGAGAGGTGAAAATGCTTGAAGCATAAACCAGTACTTAGGTTTAGGCACAGGTTAAAAATGCTAGCTGTTCTAAATTTTCGGAGCCCTCTACTACGGCGTCACTCATACTCATGTCGTGGTTTTCTATTAATTGAACGTGAACATTTATTAGCCTCATGGGCGTGTTGAAAGTACCACAATGCTGAGAGAGAAAGGGATAGAAATGTTTATTGTAGCAAAAAAAGCCGAGGTTGGCCTCAATCCATTTTCTGGCTTGCTACTCAGCGTTAGGGAAGGGGAGAGGGTGGAAAAGAAAGGAGAGAGTAAGCGTTGTTAATGATGATGAGGAAGGTGGCGATGAAGCAAAACATTGGATTAATTTAGAGTCTCTTGTCGAGTTCTGTCGCGCATAAAAACTTGTCCGATGCATTCGGAATATTGGGCTGATGACGAGGTGGTGATCCTAGCAGAACTCTCTCATAGACTCGCTCCTTCGTACGTTTCAACAAGACATTGCTTATCAAGTTTTTTTTGTTTTTTGTTAGATCGGTATATCGTGGGCAGACGCACTAGGTACGTTCACTTCTCTCAAGAGTGCGAATCCACTGAGACTTAAGGAAGCAAATAGCACCAGAAATTGTGACGATGATGTGAAAGTGGCCAGGGGCTAGGCTTGTGTATTTTGCAAACAAATTGCCATTAGAAGCCACACGATGAGTGCTTTGACGCTCTGTGGAGATGAATTGAAGATAGAGTACTGCTGAGATCATATGGTATTATAGGAGAGAACAGACAAGAAGCGACCACTTTGCACAGGACTTTCTTCAGGGGACGTCAAAAGATTCGTTCCAAGCCAACTCACGACTTACCCAGAGTGACCAGGAAGAACAAGAAAAGGCCCGAGAACTGCATCTTCGCAGTTTAGCTCTGTAAATGCAAAGAAAATAAAAAAATCAGAGCAAAAAGACAGCCCCCCCCCCCCCCATAAGGAGCAAGAATGAAAGTATAATGAAGTGCTGCAGCACAAAGATACAGTAGTGAATACTGTAGCCAGGAAAAAGGAGATGGTATTAAAGCACTAAAACGACTATGAATGAGGAAGTTTATTTACCATTTGTATAATTTCTCGTATTCTTGAGTTCTCAAAGTACGGTCGGAATGTTGCATGCATGTATGCACACACGCAAACATACTTACAAACAGACAGACAAACAAACGAACAAACGAACAAACACATACATACATACATACATACATACATACATACATACATACATACATACATACATACATACATACATACATACATACATTCATACATACATACACACATACATACATACATACATACATACATACATACATACATACATACATACATACATACATACATACATACATACATACACTGATGCATGCTTGTAGTGACACCCTGTAGCGTTATGAAAACTTTATTCAATATTCGTATATAAACACTATCCGCGTTCGTTTTCTCTAAAGACAAGAAGATGGAAATGTCAATAAGGCATGCTGTAAGTGGTTCGCACGTGTATATCATGAGAATATCACATAATGCAGATTTATCAACTGCACTACACGTTTACTTAAAATTACTGACGCCACAGCAGAGTACGTTTTCAATTTTAGGCGCGAAACCTCGTGCAAAGGTAAGCCCATGAAGCCTTAGTTCCTGACATTTAGGGCATAAAAAAACAGCACCTTGTTTCCTTTCATTCAGGCTCATAATTTTTCACCAGTTTATTTGTAGACACATGCATGACTTAAAATACCTTACAAATCGCATTGTGAGTTCGTATTACTACGGTGGCGCGCCAAAAAAAAAAAATCATAGTCCGAAGGAAGGAATACAAAGCATGGCGAAAACTGTCAATTTAAAGTTTATTGCAAGAACAAAAATATTGTCACGGGGTCGTGACGTCGACGATAGGAGCAGACTCTAGGTCGCAGATAAACTATTCATTTAAATAAAGTTTAATCTGCGACCTAGTGAATTGTCCAAACTTGTGGCCGGTCAACGAAAAGTCAGATTACAATGATGCACTCTGGCACCAATCGTGATGACGAGAGCGTCGGCATTATTATAGTGAACTAGAGTATGGTCGGCATTGAGTGGTAAAGCATGTCGGCATTTATGCATGTGCCATCGAATATTCCAGTGCTTTCGCTAAAGCACCTACAGAGGTTCCAGAGCAATATGTAATGATGGGGTTGTTCACGTAATCTTAATGATTCACTGCAGTGCTGAAGCTTCTCGAACACAGCAGGCGTGGTTTTCGCTGAGGATTACAGTGTAACGGGTTGATAAGAAAACTTTAGGAAAGATTGTGACAATGTGTATATGTGGTCAGATGAACAAGTGCTTTTTTAATACGTATTCATCTAACTACATGTTCGTTGTGGAAATAAATTATAAGTTGATAGTTCACACCGCATTTGATAATCCTTTCTTCATGCTATTGTTTTTTTTTATTGCACACCACCATGTTGAGATGAGTTACCAAGTCGCCCAGCAGGCCGTACGTACTTCTCATCTCGTATCGCACTTTGAAACTTTCGTCTGCGCATTTTGTACGCTGCAATCAACCTGGACCATACTGGTGCATCGGTTGAAATTAGCTTTCCTAACGTTTTCCCCTCGAAGTATCGCTACTATTGCCAACAAAACGCCAAAGCGTTCCCACTGAAGGACAAAAGAAGGTGATGTCCTTGTGTGTTGCGCTCAAGTGTTCTGCTATGGAATATTTAGTCGCCCAAACACCAGTGATCCTGCTGTAGCGGAAGCACTGATTGCAAGCGTTGCTTGTCTACAGCAACGGAGTTCACTTCATCGTGACTAGAAGACTAGCAATATTCAAAGTTAGCACGAGCCACGGTATTTTTCAGTGCACTCTGTCGTTGCTCCTTCGCATTCGTCATTCGCAGTTGGACATCCTCGTGAACGTTAATATACATGTGACTACTGCATTTTGATACTACTGTAATGAAGGAAAGACGACGACGAAAGACACGAGCAAGCAAGCGCCAGCGTAAATAGCAGCACACACAACAGAGTACACGATGGGCACTGTGGCAAAGACTTTCAAGAGTTCAGCTCGAGAGTGTACCATTTCTGGAGGACTGTGGTGGGAAGAGGTCAGGAGAGGAACATCGAACCCGGCTTTTCCGCATGCACATTCACCTGTGTAGGATAGCTGTCAGCACCGACGCCGAGTACGTGTACGTTGCTCGTTATCCGTGAGACGTGTGCTACTCCCAGTAAGTCATAAACCAGAAGATTCCGTTTTGCCTGATGCGGGCAACATTCGACCAGCTTGTGGACATGTTTATAGAAGGCGCTCTTACAAATGGCAGCTATTTCGAGCACGTTCCCGCAGGCTGCGCTCAGCGGAATGAGCCAAACGTCTTTTTCACGACCTACAAAAACATGATGCGTGACATGGCAACAAAAGTATTGGAATAGGCTGAATTTCTAGTAGGGCACTACGCCAAATGGTGCTTTACAAAAAATGTTGGTTCTGTGTACATTTCCATTCTCAATATTTACAGCACATGTTTGGTTTGGGAAAACTATCTTTAAGACCGAAGGCGTGCGTCTTGGCACACGGTGGGCCGCTCCCACGATGGGACAGCAAGGCTGAGACCATGAGGAGGCCATGAGGAGCATAGATAGTGAAGTATATAACCTATCCATGTATAGGATAGTGTATCAATGGGTAGGAAAATGGAGGGGGCTGAGAAAGAAAACGATGATAGGGACATGGTAAAGTACAAGATAATCTCGTCTAGCATAGAACAACAAGGGGTAAGAAAAGAAAAAGTAGAAGCGAGAATGAGGGGAGCACTGCCAGCGCCACTGTTTGCTTATTCACTGAATTCATTGTTCGTAGATGCCTCAATTTTTATTTGTACCATGACAGCACCCTCAAGGAAAAAAGACAGTTCCTAATGGCCATTTTGCTGTACGCCGCTACCGCCAGACAGCCACAAAAATGTGCGCGCGTTTTGTTGGCTCCCCGAGCAAGCACTACGTATGTTTTGACAATTGAACCAACCACTCAGTAATAGTTTAGTGATATAATATGCGGTATAGGTGCTCATCATCTTGTGTTTGAGCAGCGCACGCAGGACTAGGACGAAGAAAGAGGAGCTCAAAAAATCACCTGCTTTGCGCACCCTTTTGATGATAGTTTCCCCTCTAATGCGAAACAACTGCCCCCTCAATATTTAAATATTCGTTTAAAAGATTACTTGACTCATCTGTCCATAAACAACATTATTGCGACGAATGCATCCGCATTGAACGAAAAGGCTGGAATAGGCATCTTCTGTACTTCTCTCGACTGGTCTTTCTCAGTTCGATTACCAGATTACACGCCTATATTCATCGCTGAATTATTTGCTATAATTCTAGCACTTCGTAATCTTCCTGCAAGCGAATGAGAAGCGGTCATACTTACCGATTCTCTCTCAGTATGCACTGCACTATCTACAGCAAAACATTTGACATTATTGGGTATGATTAGCAGTTTATTACCAGAAAACCTGAAAAAATTTCACTTGCTATAGATACCTGGCCACTGCGGGATTTATCCAAATGAGATGGCAGACTCGTTAGCCAAAACAACTTTAAGCAGACCACTCTTACCTATTTTACCTGATTTCGCCTACGTAACAGCACTCAGATACAGAAAGGCTTGTTTGCACAAAAAATAGAAAAATTATCATTGGATAAAGTCAGAGACTTCGTACATCTAAGACATTGCTGGAAGAAGCAGTAGTGTGTATCTCGGCAGTTAGAAATTACAATCACCAGATTACGATGCAGAATTCCGCATCTGAATTACTACCTACATAAAGCTGGACTAACAGCATCTCCGTTGTGTCTCTTCTGCAAAGAATCGGAATCAATAGATCATTTCTTTTTATCCTGTCAACGTTATGCTTATCAAAGGAAAAGATACCTGGTCGAACCAATGGAGAAGCTAGGTTTAAAAATAAACGTGGAACTAATTTTATCCTTCGGAGGGATTACATTAGGTTATAGCCACAGGCAGGTTTTCTCTGCTGTGCTCGAGTACATAAGGGCAACAAAGAGATTACCCTGTTAGCCTATTGTTATTATTTACGGCTACGAGACTACCTGAATGCCTGACTGAACACACTTGATGATCCTGCCGCCCGGTTCTTGGCCGATCCTCCTTTGTGGGCGAGTGCCAGCAAAGCCGAAGGTTCATCATCATCATCATCATCATCATCATCAATAGCAGCACCAGACTCGAGCTCACGCTCGCCCGGAGTTTGGCTGCTTGACGCCCACCACTGCTCGGCGCTTCACGTCTAACGTTTTTCGAGCTTCCCTGGCGTCTAGCGTCAGTAAACCACGTCACAGAACATTGGATTATTACTCAGCAGGTCTTGCTTCATGCACGTACCGGCATAATACTAACTGTTGAAGCCGATAGCAGACTTCAAGGACTAGTTTTTTTCGACATTCTGAGAGGCATCAAGCAGTTTACAGCCAGTTCAGTAACACCAGACCCGTACCTTAGTGGCCTACAGTAGCTTCTCGTCTGTGTAAGCATGCTCGCGCCTCACTTGAAATGTTTTTGATATATACGTAACAAACTATCTAAACGAAAGTGAGACTGCCAAAATCCTGCGTGCCTACAACTTTGAAGGACCGTTTTAGATTCGAGCACAATGATAAAAAACAATAAAAAAAGGTAATGACGGAATTGCGGTGTATTTTTGTGACCACTATTCATAACGTTAGACATTACCCATAGGGCAACAACAAAGTTGCTCAGTGCTGAGCTCTCGCGAATTGGAAATATTTTGTCCGTATCAGAAAAAATATGAGCAAGATGTATCTTCGTATGGATTGCGAAAAACGGGGACTTGTGTGATGCTTTTCAACCACTATTGAATTTACCGAGAGAGACACCTCATTTCTTCCTTATTTAGGTGGAATTGTGATAGACTGCGATGTATGTGTGAGAAAATCGAACTTTAAGGGACGTTGCGATGTATGGTGTGATGAACGACTTAGGATTACGGAACGTCGTTCAAGACAATGTTTCGACAATTCAACTTAGCCACACTTTTGTTTAGCTCAGATTGGCTTAGATTCGCTATTCATTTTTTTGTCAAGTGTGTAGGAATATATAAATTTTGCAGTATAATAAATGCATTTCGTTTAAAGTGACCGTCGCAGATACAGGGCGTCTATAAATTCTTTCCTGCTGGATTAACACTGTGTACATTTCCTTCACCCTGCATCAAAACCACAATTGTTTTTGAAGCAAGAAATGACGCTGACAACATTTAAAAGCACTTTGCAGTTCTGATGACAAAGTTTAATAACACAAGACTTACGCAACGACCGTTTGGAAAGTGTAAGGTTCAAGCTAACTAATTCTAGTATGGACTGTAGACGTACCTCCGTAGTTTCGGGGCTGCGCAGCGACCCAGTTGCCTCTCGAAATTCTCTCTCGCAAGGGAACGAGCCGGACAGGGGAGTTCCAGAGGAGATGTCCCTGGTTGTGCCTGTTAGATTGCATTATACTTATACAGTGCTAACCATCTGCGCTCGGATGACGTAACGAGTGCCTTTGTGGTGCTGGCGTGACTGCTAGCTCCCATAATTGCACAAGTGCAGAGCCATGTGACGTTCCCATAACTCTGCATTCTTGGCACTTGCACTACTCCGTCGGCCATTTTGCCGCGTCATCCACTAACATTTGAGGCGGATGTGCCTGCTTATGATGCGCAATTAATTTGGAGGAGCACGCGGACCTGTTAATGCGTCACGCTGGGGCGACATGCGGCATACGTGATCACATGACGAGGTGTTTGATGTGAGGTTTACATCATGCGGAATGTCGATGAGTAAACTTCCATCATCAGAAATTTTTTTTTTCCGTAAAATGTATTTATTGTTATACTTTATTGGGACATTTAGCCGCGCTCACTTTATTTTTCACTTAAGTGATGGAAACAATTAACAATGACAGATTATGTAAAATGTAGCGCGGTTTCTAGAAAAACTAAAATGAGAATGAGCTTCTCTAGGAACGCTACAGCTAAGCAACGTGCGCACACGGAACGCTAATGTGAGATGCTCCTATGGCGAAAATAGTTTACGTGCTCACGTTCTTGCTCGCGTATCATCGCCTAAACACAGGAGGCCTTTTATAGTTGTGGATCTAATGATGCTTCATTTATATATGTTTCCTTTGCAAAGTGTGGCTCCTGCAAATAGTAGTAGTCACGTAACTCCATAGATAGGCAGTTTCTCTTCTGCGTTTATAGTACTTGGTGATCTCGTTCAGCAATAGCAAAGAGGCGAGCAAGGACGGGAGAACTTTATTACAAGGTTTACCTAATTATTTAAAAATTTGTTCATTGATGTATTCGAAACGTGTAGAGGTGGACGTAGGAGCAAAGGAAAGACCGTTGAGTTACACGCAAGCAAATATTTATCATTCACCTTCGCACGTTGGCATGTCTGTAGTCAAACATTGCAGTTTGTCTGATTCGTGACATTGATAAAGGCTAGCGAAACTTCCTAACATGATTTTTTTTTTCAGATAAAGCTGGCAAAGACCTTGCTTGCGCAGAAAGCTGGAATGCACGTCTGCTCGAGCCACACTTGTGAATAGAGCCTTGCTGAAGCACTGGAACAGGAAATGAGCGTTGTTTTTCATTTTATTATTTTTGTGCACCTACGATGTGTGCCTGAGTGAAAGTCTGCCCGCAATAGCTGTGTGATTCATTTAATGCTATGTTGATCCGCAGATAACGCAGCAGTGCTGCGTCATGCTGCGAAACATGCGCTCGTAAACGCAGCTGCACTGATGGAACGGGGCTGTCAAGCTGCAGTTAAATTATTCAGAACAAGTTCCGTCGCAAAAGAAGGTTATCAGTTTTTGCAGTTTCGGGTGTTTTTCCTCGTCGTCCCATATATAAACCAGCCACAACAGGGCCCATAGAATATTATATTTGATATCATAGCTCCTATTACACGGAACAGCCTAGAGTGAGGTAATGGTAAAAGGCTCGCTGCTTCTATGTTATGAGTATGGCGGATGCGCCAAGCTAGGAGTCGAAATAACGTTTTGAAACGGAAAAGAGATTGTGACAGCTGTGCCACGAATACAGTCAGTCCTAATTAGGGTATTTCAGGGTTGTCTGTCCAAACACGGCTTTAGCAGGACTGAAGGTTAAGTGATGGCAGGCTTCTTGCGAAAGTTGGTTCATGTACGAACACCACATGGTCGTAATCTCTGGAGCGCTCCACAACGGCGCTCATAATCTCTGATAATCATATCGCGGCTGTGGAACATGGAATTCCTGATAATAATAATAATTAACAATGCCACAAATGCTTTTCGATTTTCTGGCACGAGAACTATATACATATCCATTTACTAGTACTACCACGGAGAAAAAATTCTTTTTTTATGGTACTTGCCTTCATTTCTCCGGTGGTTGGATGGAGGCAGCACCGCAGTTTCCCCTAGAAAGCTTAAAGTATCACAAGGCAAGCTGAATTTATCAAGGTCAAGAACGTCCGGATCGATGGGCCACCGTGTTCGGATGACCCGAATATTTGTCATCTTCTCATGTGCAGTGTCATAGGGGGAGGAGGAGCTGCGGAGCCATTTGAAATCCTCGTCATCAATGGTCAATCTTGCCCATTGAAAAGATGGCACTCAATGGTATCTACCAAGAAATCATAATGTAGTTTTATTTACTCTTCACTTTTGTTCTTACGGTCCTTGCGGGGGACGTATGTAAACCAGCCACTAAACAGACAGTAGGATTCGGCGTGTTGGTATGACATGATGAGAAGTGCTTAGCAGCGCATGTGAGAGGAGAGGATAGAATAAACTCGTTTATTCTATCCCCTTCTGTCACACGCGCTGCTAAGCCACTAAAGCCAGAGGGGAGCTTTGATAGCGATGGTAATCATGGTGCAGGAACCCGAAATAATAATTCGATTTCGCTAAAAGCAACCTACATCAATTTTCTGTTTAATAGTGCGAAAGATGCAAGGAACTTCACCTTTCACGAAAAGAATTTCGGAAGGCTATCTTGCCTAGACACCGGGTATAGAAAGGAAGAGACAGAGTTTATTAAAGTGCACAGGAAGGACATCCATGCTTGGCGGCATCTTAGTTTCGCTTGTGTAAACAGGGCTTTTAAGAAGTGGTCTGTGACATTCTCAATAACACAGATGGCCCAAAATATTTTCAGCAAGTCAAAGACTTGGAATCCAAGTTGGCCTGCGTTAGACGTGAACTCAGCACGTGGTGCTGCCAAAAGAAGATACATGGATTCTAAAAAAATAATTCGCGTGTCTAGAGAACCACATGATACTGTCAGCTAGCATCGCAGTGACATTCGTATATTTCTGGTATCAGTGAAGCAATACGACGGGTCCTGCTTAAATACAACACGCAAATTGTCCATGTTCCTAGCCACAGGTTGCACCTCCAGCTTTTTAATGTGAAACACAACCTAAGAAAAAAGGTTCACTCGCGTTATAAAGAAAACACCTTCTGCGGACTACAATTATGTTCACATTGGCGAAATCCACAAATATTGAGCGGCACCTGAAAGAGCCCAGTGTGATGTGAAGAAAAGAAAAGTTTGCTTCCACAAAAACGCTGACACTCAGGAGTCATAGATGATCGGCGTTTCAAATGAAGCCAAGCTTAGGTTTTCGTTAGAAGAAATAAGTGGATGAATCGACAATTTATTCTTAAAAAAACATAGACAGATTTCACATACCCTGAGATTCGACGTTATGCAAAGCATGCGGAGGGAAAGTGACAGTGTTTTATTTTTTTATGTTGTGATACTTCATCAAATGACGCTAAATTTTGCACGCACATATATGTTGAACGGTTGCAAATGTTCAAACGACCAGTTGTTTGTATTTGTGCAACGATGCCAACCGGAACATGCGTATTAGCATAAGCGATAAGCTGAAATGAAGCGCTGATGCTCGTGCGGATGGTGGCCCTGGACACTGCTACATAAGTCAACTTCAGCGGAGGACATCTAACTATACATATCTGCTGAACCAGAATCCGCGCGGGTGGGCATTTGCCACTCTTTGGCGAAAAGTGTTTGACGAAGTACGTACGCGACGGGATTGCGACATTATTCATGTCTTGACCAGCGTGCCATATTCGTCATGGCATCTCACCCTCCCGTACTGATTTTGGTTCACGCCAAGTTAAGGGGGTGATCCCGAGAGCACCCAGATGTAAGCAGCTACATAGATAGATAGATAGATAGATAGATAGATAGATAGATAGATAGATAGATAGATAGATAGATAGATAGATAGATAGATAGATAGATAGATAGATAGACAGGGCAGAAGTGCTTGCAGTAGGCAGAGAAATGCTTCGCATTTAATATTCGTCTGTGGATTCAACAGGAAGAACACTTATATGAGACAACGACAACCACTTTTTAGTGGCTTTCAGTACAAGTTTTGTCTTCGTCCCGCCAACATGCGTGGGATGCCTCAAGCGAATAATAACGCTTACTTAAGCTGAAAGTTTTGACATCTCAGCTCAGTGAATAAACGTTTACTTGTAGAAAATGAAACGTGAAAGCATATTTCGGTACCATTTTGGTCGACATTCTGTTTTCTTTTTTAATATGCAGCCATTGTAACTTGCTGGCACTTGGGCACGAAATCACAATATCTTAAACGATTCAATTATTTGGAATGTTTTTTTGTAATTATCTTATCATTCCTCTACATTGTTGCTAAAAGGTCCTTCAATACCTGTTTGACTGTTTTAGACAAACCGCTCCGAATGCTTTATCAGTGTGCTGAAGTGGAGTTGTTGTACGATTATTTTGTGGGATGAGACCAGTTTGCTTATATTGTGAGTTGTTAAGGTTAGGGTGACACTGTAATCACTGCTTTCCGAGCGGTGACATAAAATTTCGTCTCATGTGTACTTGATCCTATATGCGCTATTATGACTTCAGTTAGACAAATATCAAGTTCCAAAACATTGTTCGTGTGTCTCAAAGTCGCAGGTCTCGGTTTACAGCAAGAGCGGAAGGCTTCTGCTGCTAGTACCCAGGCAAGTACTCTCGAAACAAACAAACCAACAAAAAAAGACATGCGCGACAGAAGTATATTATAGCACGATTCCCAAACCAAACAGCTGTTCGTTTTATTCGCGTTTGCTTAACTGTCGCCAATGCAGTGAATAGGCGCCACTCACGCAATGTACATGATATTGTACAAATTTTTATTCTATAATATTTCTTCTTCTAGTGCGCTATCTCCAGAGGTGCTTTTGGTGTAGGACATGACACGTGTGACAAGGTCATATGCTTGGTATGAGCAGGGAACGAAGCCGCTGAACGTGTGACGGAGTCTGATAAGTGGGCTGCTGGCGTCAGTTGCGCTCCCTTCATCGTGGAATGTCATGCGTGGTCACTTCTTCATCGGTGGCTCTTCATCGGAGAGACTGCTGCCACAGAAGTT